TATCTTCCGGAGTATTTGATAAAACTTCGAATCGATTGTTAGTAATAATAGTATCACTAACCTTTATTTGTTTGTGACGTGGATCTCTGTCTGAAGCTACATGTCGTTTTCGTCCAGACACAACTTCCCAGGACATAGCTTCTGGTGCATTATCGTGGTTGACTTCATTTGGTGAATCGTTTGAAGCCGAAGTTTCCGTCATTTTTAGCGGAAGAATCCGCTGCACCAGTAATTTTACTTCAATTGATTGCACTTATTTAACTCACGAATATGGAAGAGATAAAGGAAATCAACATGCAGTTAATTGACTTAAACTTGTGATAATTCAATAGAATTTGGAGAGAGAAATAAATTACGTTTGTAACCTTCCTAATAAAATATAATTCCAGCTTTTATTGTATAAGGAAGTTTCACTGCTGATTTTTAATAAAATCAATACCAAATAAATGGAGTGCTGTAGGTTTTTTACGTGAGATATGTTATTTTTTTATTCCTGTGTTGTCAAGATTATAGTAATAGTTAATGTATATATATATATATATATATATATATATATATATATATATATATATATATATATATATATATATATATATAATTCTGCTTAATATACTTATGAATATGTTTTTTTTATTGTTTATTTAAGATATTTACAACTGTATTCAGAACAAAAATACATTCAGTAAATGCGATAACAGAAAATAATATCACGAAAACACTTGTTGAGAAACTACCCACTAGTAGCACTCAAAAAAAAAAATAGTGCTTGTATTTACAATAGAAGATCTCGAGGCCATCTTCTTTTCAGACGCCTCGGAGGGTTAACCGGGATCGAATAGGAAGCAAGGTTAAAAACGAAAGGGTTAGGATGGTTCTGAAGTTTATTATGGAAGGATAGATATCTGGATCCCAATCGGAAACATAAGGAACATGAAGGTCATTATGGATGATTTTATTAGTGACAAATTAAAGATAATTGAGGATTCTACGAAGGATTTTGGATTGTAAGGATTGGATACGTGAAGAATTCGATGGCTTTGTGGAGCCCCAGGCATATGCTTTTGAAACAGAAATGTTCTTTTTTTTTTTAATTTTTATCTCCCGGATTATTTGATATGATCATTGAGTTTCAGTAGTACTGTTCATTTATTATAACATATTCCTTAATAGAAAAAATTAATATTTTAATAATTTGTTTATAAACTCGTATGATAGAAAATATACCAACTTGATTACTATTAATTACGTTAATGATTTATTCATCCAATAGTAAAACCTGAGCCGCATGTTTTAACAGAATTGGGTAAGATTAGCGGGACAAACCGTAATTTAAAATCTAATTGCTGGAATTAACTTTTATTACAGATAATGCCGACCTCTGGGGGAAAAAAAATATTAATTTCTTCCATCTGCGTCCAGTTCATAATATCAAGTTTAAAAATTAACCTCTAAATAAAAACGGATTAAAAAGTTGTAGTTTCATTTATTTATTTTTTGTACGTATTAAAAAAAAATACTTGAGGATTCTCTGGTCTACCTTTTTGGATATGTTTTATTATCTTTTATTTTTCATGTCAGAAAACTATGTATAGTTTAAAACAATTTAGTGGCTTCAATTATTTATTAATTAATCCCAAATATTTTGTTCTTTTAAAAGAAACTTTAATAAGCTTAAATAACCTTTAAAATTTGGTAGATCACATCAAACAACTCTCACTTACCATCCAATTTTAGTAAAAACTAATTTTAAATAAACCTTAAGAATATTGCTTTAAGAATAAATTGTAAAAGTATGTCGGCAATATAAATATTGGGTAATTCTGTGCGCTATATATGCATATGGTAGTGTTTTATAATTATTTTATTATTGTGTGTTTATTTTTATTCTTTAAAAAATACCGCTTTAAGAAAGTCAAGATTTAATTCATACATGGGAATTTCACAATATTTATTCATTTTTTTTTTTATTGATTAGTAGATAATACAATCTACCACATGGAAGGGCAACAAGTATCAAGGTTAAATATGTTCATCCATATCATATAAACATTTATTAATTCTAGAGTTATGGCAATCTCTTGCGAAAGAAAGTAGGCGCTTGGGATTAACTGGAGGCAATTTCACCTAATTATCCACAATTAATAATAATTATTATTATAACGTAGCTTATAAATTTCGTTTCCTTAAATACTTTTCGCTTCCGGAAGAGAAAACCCAAACGACCAAACGAGGCGTTTTAAAAAACAAAAAAATAATCATCCGTCAGGTCATGAACCGAATGAGTAGCGTATGAATAAAACTCAAGCAAAGTACGTCAGATTACCTTAATTACACAATTAGAAAATCCAACCGCGATCTCCTCGCAGAGGTATTTCATAATAATGAGAAAATTACTAAAAGGAAAATGTACGGATTGGTAGAATGAAAAAGAAAAAAATATACCTGGTCCATGGAAATCGTAATATCAATGATTTTAAAGAAGATATTTCTGCTACGGAGAAGTGAACTTAAAATGATTACAAACTATTATCAATCTTCTGTTATTTTCTTCAACAGTAGTTAGCAGTAATTTAGCTATTAGTAACAGTTATTTCAGCTAATAAACCACTTATTTTCTTCATTAGTTGTTTGTAGTATTTTTTAGGCTGATAAAAAATCACAGAAATATAACATCGTTTCATATAAAATATAAAAGTTATTTTATGAAACAATTTTATGATGAAATCAAAACATTATTTTTTAAATATTTAACCTTATTTTCTCCAATATGTTATCAACTTATCAATTCCAGAACTTGAAAATCCAGGATTTCTTAAAGAAATGTGTTTTGAAAACGCATTTCTGGCCTGATATATTTTTGTAAAAAATTACTGTAAGGAAGTTGTCCTAATTTCTGAACATATGGAAATCTGTTGGAGATAAGTCTGGTAAATGAGTAGTAGTGGATAAGTCTGGTGAATAAGTGAAGGTACGGAAAGACTTAGTAACACGTTTAGTTTATTCACTTTCTGTCGTGAAACATGAGATCTGGCGGTCTAAAGATTCCTTCCATTTAACCAATGCAGATGGTTTTTTTGACAATGTTTTTGTGCATTATGTCAATATCACTACATTACTATGTTTATCTGATGGTTTCATCTCTGGGTAAAAATAATAAATAAATTATTCCTACCATTTTTTTTCAAACCACCGGCGAATGATTCGTTAGTTACAATACTCTTCCCCCCCCCCCCCCCAAAGGAGGTTGGGCTGCCTTAAACTCTTACATGAAATACCCGAAATCGCGTATTTCCATGGTCATAATTGATGGAATACTAATCAATGAGGAATCAATTGGAATAATAATAAACATTATCAAAAAAGAGAGACTTAATCATAGCTTAATTCCTACATAACTACTTTGATTTCTGAAATTAAAAAAAAAAAAACTGATATTTCATATAAAGCGACCCAATAAATATCTAGTGTATTTACTCACACAACTTTACTTACCACTAGCAGATTCAACAAAGGGGAGCTGTCGGTCTGAAGCCCTTACAATCTTACTTAAACACATTTGGACTTCAACCCCAGGAAACTGGATGAGGGATCTCTTCTACTAACTAAATAAAAAACTGGAGATAAGAAAACACGCTTCAGGGGATTACACATTCTCATACATCAATAACATAATATTTAATTGCCTCGCATTAAATTCACTGATTACCAGTATTTCTGTAAGATATGATTAAGAAAACTAAGATAGTAGAAAATGAAATACTGATTATTAATAACTGTTTTTGAATGAGATGCGCAATAGCTTTGAAGTTTATGTAATTCACAAAGTAAAATGTAGATTACGATGTTTGGGGTGTGTAAGGAACTGACAAAGGGAGTTGTCTGAACACTACTCAACAAAAAATGTGGCGCTAAATGGTTACAGTTAGGTTTTCCACAGCCTTCAGATTAAACTAAAAACGTTACATGTTTGTTGTATAAGCGCTACTAATATTCTATTATTATAAAATAACGATGCATTCAGTAATCGATCTAAGGTTCGCGATATCATAGCCATAATGACCATAGAAGGTTAGTCAACAGAATGAATATATTCAGGAAGTTTAAAAATTCCAAGCAATCAACGGCTCTCTTTAGATGTCATGGCCAACCAGAGCTGATACTCAGGAAAGCTGCAATCTGTCAATAAACTTTATTCTAAATTAAATAAGAAATAAATTGCTGAAACTTTTATTTATAATCATTTAAAAATCCCTTTATATGCGAATTAAAAATATTTTGTAGCGTTCAAATTTACTAATTTGTAAATTAGCTTCGGCGGCTTCTTGAAACTATTTTATGACAATATTTTCTTCGATGGTTCTACAACCCCTGAAGAGTAGACTCCTCCCTCAGTTGAGGACACCAGTCGTCTCTATCTTGTGTTGCTGCTTTCCGACTTCTTATACGCATCGACGAAGCATCCGCTGCCACACAATCCACACAGCGCAGACGAGGTCTTCCAATTCTTCTACGTCCGAATATTTTTTCGTCTAGGTGCATTTTGAGGACTTCATTATTATTCATACGTGCGACATCCCCTGCTCGATTTAGAGGTCCAATCTCTATTACATTGACGTATAAAAGTAATTGCAGAGAATCATTAGCTCAGCGTTTTTGCTCGATCTCCATACACCTTGGACCCACTTAGGCCCTAATCCTTCTAGAAATATATATATATTTCAATCCACTATATATATATATATATATATATATATATATATATATATATATATATATATATATATATATAGTATATATAAATCATCGGCGTAAGCACACTTCGTTGAAACCCTCCTCTGTGGGATTTCTACTCTCTGATTCGGTACATTCCAAAGTGATCCGTAACCTCTATTAATCAATATTACTTGGTTTGATTTTCGGAACCATCTCAATCTATTATCCCTTTTTTCCCGCAGGTTCCTGTTTTTTATTCAGTAGACGGCTCGAACCTTACTTTATTTATGACTCCCGCTAAAAGGCTAGCGGCAGTACTGAACCACAAAGGCAAACCACAGCGAGTTAACGGACTAGCGCTACTCCTGATGAAGGCAACTCAAGCAAGTCATCAGTATGCCCGCTGCAGCTCATGCTAATCCACTGCCCAATTAGTGAGCCAAGTGTTTAGTTACTTCTCATGTTCCTGTTTATCTTGAGGCTGATGGGTCAAAAAGTTGCTCTACTCTTGAAGAAGTTTAATCCCATCCAAAAAAAATTGAATATTTTTCTTTGGATGTGTGTTTAGAATTCTAAAATCTAAGCTCCGCTAACCGTCCCTCCTAGATCTCAAGACACTACCCACTATATTTTCGTTAAAACTTATATTATTAAATGTAGTAATATATGAGGGCAGAAGCAATAAATTAACTACAAATAAATAATATTATTCATGCAGAAAAAATTCACATTAGACTAGTTTTTTTTTTAAGGTTATGTGAGCAGGAAAGGGAATCGAATAAAAAAAAAAGAACTTTTAAGAAAAAAAAATGTGATTTTCTGGCTGGGTTGAAGCGCAGGGGTGGGAAATCCCATGGGAGCAGTTAGTCAGCCAGTTAGGAGAATCCACGGCCTTAGCAATTATATTTGGGCTAATAGGGTCCAAGGAGCTCGATCTCTAGAAGGCTCTGGGGTCAGATATACTAACTAGTAAAACCACTCGTCCATTTTAACAAAACTTGTTTAAGTATTAAAAATATTTGACAGATTTTATATTTGATCGAAAATAAGATCAATCTGAAAGATGAAAACTACCCCTAAAAGTAGGAAGGTAGATTAAATAACTTAATTAATTAATATGCCTGGAGCCTTTGTGTTTGCAAACCTTTTATATTAACTTTATTTGTTTGCTGTCAACAGTCAGAAATACAGATAACCAATGAGTATGGTGTCGGGAATTAGAAGAGTTTAAAACGTAATATCCGTTAGGAATGAGAGGGTTCAGTGGCATCCCTTACTATTTTGAATTTAGTATTTATAATTAAGGGAGGATTTAGTATTTATCACTCATTCGGCTTATTTTCAGCCTCCTATGGATGATATCGGGTATGTATTAACTTACCCTATAGCACTCGTAGGAGGCTAGTAATAAAAAAAAAATTGTATAATGACTGCGTCCTGACTATTTATCACCCGTAATAAAATAATGTTATAACATAATATCTTTCATTAAGATATCAGAATACTAAAGTATGGTCATCTCTTCCTCCTTTCTTCTGAAAAACTAATAAATAGCTGCTTACAGAAACTGGTAAATCAATGTCTAAAGGCAAGGAAGGAAAGAAGTTTAAGATGAATATAAAGGGAAGGAGGTTAAGAATGACGGGGTGTGTACCTTGTAGCAATCCATCTGGAAGACTCTAGACGGACTCTGGAAGATGAACAAATGGAAGCCCAAAAACCAGATGTAACCAGTCGTACCAACCAAGATGCAATAGATCTAAATGTAGATAACTGGAAAGAAATAGCCTGAGGTAGGCAGCGATGAATAAGGGTGGTTAAGGCGGAAAAAGATCTACAAGGTGTGTAATACCAACAGGAAAAAACAATTAATATAATGAGTATTTTTTGTTAATGTTTAAAATTAAAAATAGTGGTTCTAGCACTATTAATGAATTGCCCAATCTGCTTTATCTTCGGGATCTCAAGGGACATTTCTACACCAAGTTGAAGTGGCTCTATCCGTCCTACCGCCGTCAATATTTTCTGGCTACCTTCCTGTACCGAGCCATTACAACACGGCGACCTACCTATATTCTACAAATCATACAATTCAAACGCTCCTTTCCCGTCCCACCAGATCCAGTGCGTCCTACCTCTATCCTCCTCCTCACTGAACTGCTGCATTTGATAAATCCTTTTTAATACAAGTTGTCTCCCTCTGGAACTCTATACCTTCAGATATTCGACACGCAAAATCGATATCCTCTTTCAAATCTCTCCTTTTCGAACACCTACTCCATTTCCAATCCGATTGATCACGAAATGCACTTCAAAATCTCAAAGTACACCCAGATACTCTGATTATTTTGTAATTCATCGATATTTCGTTCACTTAATTACTTTCTCTGTATATTTTATATTTACTCGTATTTATATCTTTTTATCATTTATAAATTTATTGTACTCCGAATCAACCTGTAAATATTAAATTGCATGGACACACCAAAATATTAATATATATTCTGTATTTGTGACTTGTTTAATTATTTTCATTCATTCATTCATACTATGCGTTACTTTTTTTTTTTTTGATAAATTAAATTATTCTTCTTTGCCTCTTAAATCTTCAATTCGTGTTTTCTAATTAATAGGGATCGATTGCAAATACTAGGCATTATTTTCATATATTTTGGAGCCAAAACTGTGAAAATGGGATAATTTACATTAGACAATTTTTCGGACAAAAAACTTTTTAATATTTTTTTCTATATGAGTATATGAGGCAGAGTACATTGTTAGCCGTTGTACAACAAATTGTCGGCCTTATTTCGGTAAGCTGTTACAGCGATATGTATAATTAGTTACCTCTATTTTTGTATGCTGACGCATCGAAGTTGGTCACATCTTTTATTTAAAAAAATGAACATAATGTTGTTTTCATAAATATTTGATTTATCATGGGGCGTAGAATTGAACGACAAATATATCTATGTCTTAATATCTGATTGTGTCGGTTATCAATTTTTATTTGATAATTTATGAAATTCAAAAATAACAACTTTCAAGACAAGGGAAACATTTCCAAAATAAATTCAATCTTTCACATTTTTATATTCAATTTTCGATTTATAGTAACTCCTTTTAATTTTTCAATACAAGAAGATCAATTATTCCTTTTTGCAGGGAATATTTTTTGTGAAAATTCTATCAAATTTAATATTAAGCAATTGTGTACCGTCTCATTTTATTTTTTTAATTTACTCGAAATGATTGTCAAATTAATAAAGGAGTACTTTTTAAAAAATACTATTAATTTAAAGATAAGTCCCTCCGCTGGTTTAAAATACCAGTGAAGTGGCTGAGGGAGAAGCGTAGGGATCTCCTAAGCCTCCCTTTCCCCTCCACATGTGGAGGGGAAAGGATTGGTTCGGAGATCACCTGGCAAATTGTAAATAATGTATGTTTTATATAAGGTGTTTGTTTTACTTTTATTTCTATTTTTATTTACTTATGTGTATATATATATTATTATTTTTTCTTTACTCTTTTGTTCTTTCTTCTTATTCTTTTGTTATTACTTTATTTATTTATATTTTTGTATATACGGTATGAATGCAATCTCTGAACTCTATTATAAGTGTCCTTAACTGTGACAAATTGTAATATTTCTGAATAAAGTGTTTTTTAATAATAAAAAAAAAAAAGATAAGTTACTCTGATATCGATCAATTTCAACTTTTCGATACTTCGATGAGAGGTTCTATTATTAAAGAGTAATTTTTGAAAATTCTTTCTATCTTAAGATTACGCAACTCCGTATCGATTCATTGTATTTTTTTTTAATTTATATCATATTAGTGTATATAGGTATGTCTGTATTTTTTTTTTAATTTATCTTATTTTTATTTATTGAATATAATTTTTATTAATTATTTAGTTGTTATTTTATTCCTGTTCATTTTATACTTTATGTACACACTGTGTGAACATTCACACTAAATAGTCTTATCTCACTATGATTATTGTCCAAGTGATAAAAGATTATATTACTTCATAAATAAATAAATTCTTTCATGTTAAGTGATTAGACAATATTAAATTTTATTAATTCTGATAATATATATTAATAATAATAATATAGCTATATTCTATCTTAAAATCGATAATATTTTAAACTAATGATAACATAAGAACTGGCTTAGTTTAAAAGAAATAAAGTTATAAAGGAAAGAAAAGAAATCTATACGCAATTAGATAATCTTAAAATCGATAGTATTTTTTTTTTAAATACGCCTTTGATAACTTTATAATAGACTCTTTTATCGAAGAATTCTGAAAAGTTAAAATAAATCTATAAGCAATTGCGTAATATTAAATTGGGCAGTATTCTTTCAAAAGTACGCATTATAATAACAATTGAACCTTTCATCGCAAAATTAAACAGGATATAATTGTAATATTATATTTTTACAATATTATTATGTTATTTATGTGTATGTATATATATATATATTTATGTTTTGAATATTTTCATTATATACCAATAACAATTTCTATCTTGTTTTTAATGTTGGCTTATTTTAGTAAAAACGTAAAAAAAAAAAAAAAAATTATTTATTCAAACAAAATGATAATTTACTTATCCCAATCAATACTAAGTTATGTTTGACAAGAAACTATATGTTTGTTCTCTTATAATAAAAGACTTTATTCACAGTTGAGATTACTGCTTCTTTGCTTCACTCAAATAAAACAGTTTGCTTGCTTAAAGTTTTGTATCTTACTAAGTAAAGAAGATCAATATAAAGTGCTATCAGAACTTGATTAAGAAGAACCCTCCAAGAACTAGAATAAATCGAATGCTTGAAGAATGTCTAATGAGGTGCATTATTTCCTTGCAAAGCTTGAAATTAAAAGAGGCCATAGAAAATGTATATTCTCTATACATTACCATCTTGAAAACTTGAACCGATTTCGTTCTTAAAATTATGACTAATTTAGTTTCAATCAATTCGTTTATTAAAGAAAAAATAAAACAGACTATATTTTAAAAAATGGACACATATTTGTGGAAAATATTATTAAGAAGAAAAATGTCTTCATTCCAAAGCAACTTTTTATTTTATTAAATGTCCTCAAAACATTGTCCACATGAATTTTTTAAACTGTGTTTTTTGTCGCAATTCATTCTACAAGGAATTTTTCTTTGGAACGTGACCTTTGATTTGAATCTTTTTTGCTCATTACAGAACTTGTTTTACTAGATATAGTCCAACTTAATGATTTCCAGTCATTTTTGCTTTCACTTATTACTCTTTATAACAGAAATAATTCCGATACTGATTTGATCCATCAGTATACCCGATACTAGGACCATATTTTCATTTTTGGGTCCTGCCATCGTCACATAAA